CTTTCTCTTCAGATCAGTACTTAAATCGATGAAGTCTCAGACCTGACAGAAATGTTGGAAATGCCTTTTGAAGAGTTCTTTCCATATTACTTTCTGTTGTTGTGTACTAATTTACAAATCTCCCCACATACTTAAGTTTCCTCCATGTCTTTCTTTGGATCTGGAGTCCATAACTGGAAAACACAATATGTATATACAGCCATGCTAACAACAGCTACTGAGGTTCAGCAAAATTGAAAGGATCAGCCGCCCAAGTTATGTTTCCACCCATTGCTCATACCTCATGTACAACCCTCCACCCCAGCAAAAAACCCCAAAAAACAACAACAAAAAACCATACATTCAGGCAAATGGATTTTATTATAAAAAGAAATGCAGTTACGTTTCTCATGTTTCCTGTAAAGACTGAATTTGAAAGGTTTGAAAGTATTTAAACGTCTCCTGTTGAAGCAAAACACCTTTTTTGTTGTTGTTCTACATTTTATGGACATGCAGCTTCAAAACAATGTGTCAACATTAACTTTTACAAAATACTGTACACAGTTTCTCCAGCGCTTCTTTCCAAAACACAAAACTTGAGTGAATGTGGGATTTTATATTTTACTGAGCAGCTGCTCTAGTAGAGTCCTTGGGGAGAGTTTAGGGGAATCTGCAGGGACTGAAAAGGTCACTGTCCCAAGAAGGAAGCCATGGGATCATCTGGCCTGCTGCGTTTCATGCGGAAGGCCTCCATCTCCTCCTCAGTGGGCGCCTTTACTTCAAACAAGCTGTTGTACGGCCTCTTCCTCTCATCCAGCTGCATTAGCATCTCCACCTGCTTCACCCGCTTGTCCTCTGCTTCTAGAGCCTGAGAGGGAGACGGCGGTTGGAGGTCAGACACGGAGAAACTCATCAAAACAAACACAGCAGTCAAACAAAAACAAAAACATTACCTTCTTCAGCTTTTCCTTCTTCTTCTCCTCATCCTCCGAATCACTGCTGTCGGAGTCGCGCTTCTTGTTCTTTTTGTTCTTCTTTTTCTTCTTCTTCTCTTTCATCTTATCTTGATGCATCTGGTGATCACGAATATTTTAATAATGAACATTACATTTAAGCTTATTAACATTAACTGCAGCATTTTTTTTAAAAACAGTGTCCCTCACTTCTAGCAGAGTCTTGGGCTGTTCTTCCTCCTGTGGCTCAGTTATTGCCTCTTCAAATGGAGTGCACTCTGAGTTGTTCTGCAGGGGGTCATAAACCAACACAGTCAGAAAGTGAGAAATCTGTGACCACTTTATAAACTGATATCCTATCCATCAAACAAACGCTTCAAATACTCTCAGTAAATGTACTTACAATTCCAATTCCAGCTGATCCTGTGCAGTAACTCTGTTTGACCATGGAGTGGCAACACTTGTACCCCCAGAAGCCGTCTTTCCAGTAGGAACCCCAAATACACTAACGAGGAGATATGATCTTGATTTTAGGATAAAACATAAATAAAACGTAACAAAATTAGCCACACATTTGCTACGGTCTGCCCTTCTTACAGTGTGGTTGTTGATGAGCACGTCCTCCTCATATTTGGAGCGAGCGACAGCCTTTTCGAGTCCTTTCAGCACAGCGCCGTGACGCGAATACTCCACGTAGTCCTCCGTCTGGGCCAACAGCAACTCCCGCGGTGGTGCATCCAAATGCTCCTGGCCTCCATACTGATTGTCACACACAAAAGCAGAAACGTCATCAGTAAAGCCCAGACTGTGACTGATATGAAGTTCGGTCTGATGTATCAGCCAATATTTTTTTTTCTTTCCGATATCCCTAATATTTGTAGTTATTTATTTTCTCCTTTACACAGCTGATCCAAGCCCGACTGCTCAGATCGACTGGTTGTTTGTGGTGTTCTCAAACATGCTGCCAACAGAGAAGCTGCAGAGTGCCATCCGGTGGACAAACTGTGCAACATCTGCACTCATAAGATGGTCGAAGAAAGTTTCTCCCATCTCTTATGTACAGTTCACTCTTCCTGGCCTCATCCTGTTGCTAAATGAATACATATCAGCCGTGTACCTTCTCCAGGATGCTTTCCCTCTGTTCTTCTTTGAAGTCCTCCTTCTTGACCTTGAAGGAGCGATGCAGCAGCTCCAGTTTGGTGGGGTCAGCCTGCAGATGCACCTCGGAGCCTTTCTCATAAGCCTCCCAGGCAAACACTGTCACGAGTCAATGACAATTACTACAAATTACACTCTGTGGTCCTATCAGATAAGAAAAAGCTCGGATTTCATCATAATTATCCTTTACTAAGTAACTAAGATCCTGCCTTTTGGTGTCTCATATATAACATACGTGTGACAGGAGAGGCACTCTTTAATTTAGCCATGTCTAAATAGATGTATAGATGTTAACCACTATTGCTAGCAGGCTGCTTTTTATTTTTTGCAGCTGATTTTTACTCTATAAATGCTGATTTTTCTACTTTTGGTAACCTATTATAATCCAGTCAAAAATTCAACAGTTTTGGTCACAGTGGCCAAAAATGAATAAATCTCTAGACTCCAATATAAGTAAAGTCATACTTCCAAAACCTAAAGAGTTAAGGTTGTGAGGTGTTTGAAAAGAAGGAACCATAACTTTAGGACTTACATTGTGTTTGAGCCATGGAAATTGTGGCTCCACTGTAGCGAACAAAGTTGTCTCCAGCGTACCCCACTCTGTTACACAAAACAGTTCAAAAATGATTTCAGTGTCCACTCAGTTACTCCGAGACTATTTCTACTATTCCTCTGTTGATTTTATTTAAAAAACAAACAAACAACAACAAAAAAACAAACCCATAACTTACTCATCAGGGTTCTTGCCAGTGTTCGAGTACGGATTCTCTCTCATTGCTCGCGTCTTTGGATCGTAGTACGCTGAATTTGGATCCAGATTTCTCAAGTACTGTGAAAAACAGACACGAGGAGTTCAGATTACAGAGAAATTAGTAAACTGCAGTACCCCATCTTTCATACACAGAACTGCTGAAAAGTCATTTGATTTTATTATATTTCGCTTGAAAACAAACATGAAGGAAGCGTGAAAACACGCTTCCTTCATGTGAAACAAAACATGACGCAAAAACAGAGTCTGTGTAACTGCAACAGCCCTCTGAATCAAAAATTTGGTATAACTGCCTTTATTCATTAACATAGCCTGAACTCTCTTAGACAGCCTTCTTGTATTTACTGTAAGTTGTCTTCAGTAATAGTTCTCCAGCCTGCTTGAAGGACATTCAAAGCTTTTTCATGTCCACAATTTAAACAAAATCTCGATACAACTGTCTCCTTGTAAGAAAAATATAAAAGGAACATGGTGTGGCTCACAGCTTTTACACAATAATGTGGGCAGTAACACTGTGTTCTGTATTCATTTTCTCCCTGTGTACACAGTTTATCATCAGAAAAAGCACAAATGACTCATGTTTTACTACGTGGCTCTTACTTTAGCTGTGTCTTCTCTGATACGCAGATTCCTGACAGTGATTCGTCTCTTGGAGTCAAAGTTCTGACCGGGCATGTCGATGTCATCTGCATATTTGTCTTCATCCTCATCTTCACTGTCATGTTCCCGCTCCTACAAATAAAGAA